CTAAAATACGTTATAATGATATATATAAATATATGTAATATATATTATAATTAAATTTATTAGTATTATTATTAATAAATTGAATTTATTATTATTATTATTATTAATAAATTGAATTTATTATTATTATTCATTATTAAAAATTAATAATTATATATTATAATTATATATATATATATATATATATATATATATATATATATATATATACATATATTATTATATGTATAATAAGTTATAATGGCTTGTTTACAAATTGACCCAAACACAAAGTTACTTCAGAAGCTCTAATTATATAGCGATGTTTTTGTATTTAAAGTAAAAAGTTCTTGAATTAGATTTACTGTTTTCCAACAAAGTCATCATCATAATTATAGAGATTTTGTTGGAAAACCTTTTTTTTTTTTCTAACTGTATATTTGCGCAAGTGAAAAACTGACCAATCAGAGTGTGCGATGTCATGCTTCCGGTTTGCTCCTCACTTCCCCCATATGGATCCAGACAGCTCGCAGTTAGCAGCACACCTCTCTGTGTAAACCAACATATTTATCGTCGGATACTTTATTTTATGAACGACTGCAAATAAACAGTAAGTGTTTTATTATTCTTTTTCTGATTAGATGTTATTATTACCGAGTTACTGGAGAGTTTGTCAACTTAGCTACCAATTTAAGCGATAGCCACCTAGCCTAGACTCCCATTTGTATGACTGAGATGAGCTAACAGTGAGCTAGTTAGTTAGCTAGCTCAGCTCACAGACACACTCACATTAACTAAGCAGGCAAGAGTGAATGACAGCTGGACAGAGGTGCTAGTTTGATGTACCTTTACCTGACGAGTTGTTATTAATATATTCATGCTTGTTATAATATCAATATGTTTAATCTCAGAGGATTTTATTCTGCATTGACCTGAAGTGTAATACTTGATGCAGCTTTTCACCAAAGTAACCTTTCATAACATTTGTTTTCTACATCAGGTAAATCAAGTGAATGACCTGCATATAATCTCCAGATCTCAAAGCGTAAACAAATAATGTCACATGTTGAGTATTTCTCGCTTTGTGCTTTTTGAGGCTGTTTATTTTGACTGTGTTTACAAAACATCACCCCCTCCACCTTTTAAATATCATGTCTGAGCTTTACTAGCACACGACCTGGTCTACACTGTCAGCTCTTGAAATGGTCAAATCAACCTGGTTCTCTGAAATATTTTATACTGTTTCATAATTTGAATATGTACAATGTTACAATTCACTTAGACGCTTTTATCCAAAGCGACGTACATCAATTCAATTCAATTTTATTTGTATAGCGTCAACTAACAAGTGTTATCTCAAGACACTTTACAAAAAGCAGGTAAAAGACCTTACTCATTGTCTGTTAACATTACAAAAGAGCAGGTAAAAGACCTTACTCATTGTCTGTTAACATTACAAAAGAGCAGGTAAAAGACCTTACTCATTGTCTGTTAACATTACAAAAGAGCAGGTAAAAAGACCTTACTCATTGTTATGTTACAAAGATCCGGCCTATCCATCATGAGCACTTTAGCAAAGCAGCAAAAGTTACAGTGGTAAGAAAAAACTGCCTTATTAAAAGGCAGAAATCTTCGGCCGGATCCCCTGCTCATGATGAAACAGCCTTCACAGGACTAGACTGCACCGGGCTTGGAAAGGGATAGGGGGAGAGATGGGATAAGATGCAGGAAGAGGGATAGGGAGCAAGGGGGTGGGGGAGGGAAACCGTCCATCAACAATCCGGTGGGGAGGGGGGGGTTGAGAGAGTCAGAGAGTAAGTACAACACTAATCCATTCATACACCGTCACCGAAGCAGCGGGAGCAATGTAGGGTTAAGAGTTTTGCCCAAGGACACATCGGACATGTTGCTCAGCTGGGGATCAAACCCTCGACCTCCCGGTTGAGAGGTGACAACTCAACCAGCTGAGCCACAGCCGCCCTACTGTGTCACATTGTCTTAAATGTGTATGTTTTGTCTTTAGATATCCACCATGGCTTCTCGAGCAGGTCCGAGAGCAGCGGGCACAGATGGCAGTGACTTTCAGCATCGGGAGCGTGTGGCCTCACATTACCAGATGAGGTTGGTTCTTTAAACATGTTATTAGTATAACTGCTGATAAGAAGATGTAATCACCAGAAAATTAATCCTGGGATCAAAAATCCCTCTCTGGGATTATGGCTTTAAAAAAAAAGGATTTTTTACATTTAAAAATGAAATTTAAAATGATAACTATAAATCAGTTTGTTTGTTTTTTTAGAACAAGAATCACTTCACTTACTGTTATAACTCATGTTTTGTGAGTTGAATTTCATTTAAGTCTGTCAAATCAAATTAGGTTTTATATATAAAAAAAAAAAAACATGTTAGAATTTGATGCAGAGGTTTTTTTTAATTAGTGTGTAATTTGACGAGCTGAGTTCACCCTGACTCTTCTGGTTTTGTCTTCATGTGTCGTTTGGCACAGCGTGGCCTTGAAGTCTGAAATCCGTAAACTCAACATCGTCCATCTGTTGACCTGGGTGCTGATGGCAGCTCAGGTAACGACAAAGCTTTCTAAACATGCACACATGCTTAATACATTTTTTTTATTGGAAACATAATCGCTCATCTGGGTTGTCTCCTCTTTCTCAGGTGACAGTTAGCCAGCTGAGTCTGGTGTCCCATAAGGTTGTCGCCTCTCCGTACCAATGGGAGTACCCATACCTCCTGAGCATTATCCCTACAGTCTTCAGCTTCTTGGCGTTGCCTCGAAACAACATCAGTTATCTGGTGATCTCCATGATCAGTGCCGGGCTCTTCTGTGTGGCCCCGCTGATCTACGGCAGCATGGAGATGTTCCCAGTGGCTCAGCAGCTCTACCGACACGGCAAAGCCTACCGCTTTATATTCGGCTTCTCCGCCGTGACGGTCATGTACCTGGTGATCGTCATCGCCGTGCAGGTGCACGCCTGGCAGATCTACTACAGCAAGAAGCTCCTTGATCAGTGGTTCACCAGCACGCAGGACAAGAAGAAGAAATGAGGTCATCCCATCTGGAAAAAGAGGATTTTTTTGAAACAAGCTCTGAACTTGTATATTGAGCCAAATAAGACCAAAAGAGGAGTTTAGTTGTTTTGTTTATATTTATATTTGACAATGATGCTGTTAGAATATTAACTGTTCACAAATAATCTGTCCCTGGACTGTTTTTGGTGGTTTTCATAACTGTACTTTAAGTCTGCTGCCATTTCATCATTGTGAAAATCATACTGTAAATGTTCCCTGTCAGTCATTACCTGGATTCATCAGGTACTGACAGTGTAAAAAGGTGAACTGGAAGATGACTGAAATAACATCAATGTCCATGTTTTTGATTCCAAAAGTAAATTTGATTATTAAAAGCATAAAAATATCAATGTCTGTCTTTGCATTGTTTGTTTCCCTGTGAGATGAAAATGAAGGTTTCACTCGTTCTTTTACAGGTGAGTCTTGGTTTGAAATCTATACATGTTAATAGTTTAAATCATTCATATACTGCTGGGTTTGGAGCCCTCAGCTTCAGACTTGGCAGACATCACCTGACTCTATTCATAATTGTCTGTAAACAGAAGTTGAAGACGTCACTAGAAGGTAAATCACGTTGCTGGTGGACATGGTCCCACAGGCCGCTGGTGGACATGGTCCCACAGGCTGCTGGTGGACATGGTCCCACATGTTGGTGGTGGACATGGTCCCACAGGCTGCTGGTGGACATGGTCCCACAGGCCGCTGGTGGACATGGTCCCACGGATCCGGCAAACCAGGAACTACAAGCGTTTTGAGTGATGGTCCACCGAGAGGAAAAAAAGAGGGCTATATATATATATATATATATCTGTGTTGCTGTGATGTGAAAAAAAAAACATTTAACCACAGTCTGACTATTTTCAACCATCTTTTATACTTATCTCAGAATATGTTAAAACAAACTAAATGAAAAGACTTAATCATTTGTAAATGTTTGGAAATTAAAGTGACTACACTTATAACTACTAAAAGATTGAACATGTGTTTGTAAAGTCAATATAATATGAGTGTTTTCTTTGGTATAAAAGCAGGAGTGTTTGGATAATTTCACTAATAGATCAGTCATTTAAACAACAGTATCTGTCCACAGATTATAAATCTAAAAATAAATGTTTTATTTATTTTCGGTGTTTTGCTTAATTTTGCCATTGTGTCTCCTAATTCACAATGAGTTCTCTACGTCGATACGACCTTTACCTGGGAGTGACACGCCCACAACGTCACTTCCGCTGCTGCGCATCACGCTCAGGTGTGCACCGGACCACTCGAGCGGATGACGGCTGTCCGAGTTTGGATGAAAATGTTTGAAGACGAAGAAGAAAACACGCTTTTGTATGCTAATGCTAATGCTAACTGAACCATAACAACATCGTGTGTCTGAGAGATTCAAACAAAAGTGAAGAGAAAGTTGTTGTTTGAACTCAACATTCAGGGTTTTCTTCTTGTTTCTTTGTACAGGTGTGTGCAGGTGTGTCCTCGCTCTGTGCTGTAGCTCCGAGGTAAAATGATTTTCTAAACATTACTGTTCACAGAGCTCAGAGATTAAATGTTCATCTTGATAAAGTAATATGAATAAACTTCATTTATTTCATTTAAAAAGTAAAATCTCTTCATCCAGCCTTCTGTGTTTAATTTACTCAAAGAAACAGCAGTCTGATTCATTTATTATTTAAGTGCAGTAACCAACAACTAACCACCAGAGGGCGCCCTCTCTATATAAAGTGATTTATAAACGATATAATGCATTTATTTTAAACCTTGAACTTTAATTAGAGTTTTTGTTCTTGTGACAGTTAATTTTGTAAGTCAATAAAGTAATTTGATATTTAAGATTACATCATTGTATGCTAAATTATTTATATTAAAGCTGAATTTTTACCTTTTAGTTAATTAAATTAGTTTTTAGTTTTTCTTAATGAAAATACCACAAAACCTTTTTATTGATTAAATTGAAATGATCAATTTGATTAAATCTTCTTATTTGATTAGGATTCAAATATTTGATATATGAGTACATCTTACAGCTCAATGAGAGTTCAGATTAAACACTTAAATTAAAATGAAACATTTACAAGTTAAAAAGGTTGTTTAAAAATTCTTCTTCCTTGCCTTGATTTTATTAACTTTCATATGCTCATAACTCTTCTTCACCTACCTTATGTGCTCCATTATATTAAGTTTATTGATAATATCACAGATCAATTACAACTCTGAATATATATATTATATATATAAATGTATAGAGCATTTTCTTTCCCCCCAAAGCTCGATCAGGTTAAAGTTAAACAAACTTATAGAACTTATAATATAAGATAAATCTGATAAGATGTTTCTTAAGACCTTATACTTAATGTTTCTATATTATATTCTACATTTAAACTTTGAATTTAAGTTTGCTTCAGTCTCATACAAAAGCCTTAAAGTGAAGTTAAACACAGATAATTTACAGTGAATGATGAAACTCAGGTTTATTCCAATCATCACAATGTTTTATAATCACAAACATTTTGAGTTTTATTAACTTGATGAACTAAAATGTGTTTTTCTTCTCCAACAGGAACTCTGTCGACGTCTTCCAGGAGGATCCCCCGTCGGTGACCGTCTTCCTGCTCAGGTAGGAGACTCAAAGCTTTCTTAATGTTGTTTTATTATGTTCCAGGTTTTAGGTCTTCTAGAAGTTTAGACTCAGGTATTTTGATCATTTGACTTCATCCTTTTTGATCAGCTAGAAGTCTACTTAGATTTGAGGAACATCAGGTGTTTAATGTAAAACTACATTATTATTTTTTAATCTATTAGGTATCGTTAGTCGACAGCTACATAGCATTATGTTATGTTATGTTATGTTAAAGCTGATTTAAGGAGTTATGACCTCCTTTAGACATGGACATCCAGTGCTGGTATTACTTCCTGATCTAATGTTATCCTGAAGGTAGCATCAGTGTCCTGAATATTACAGTTAACTATTTTCCCTGAAAATGATTTGAATCACTTCTCCTTTGACGGGTTAAAGAGAGTTTAACTTTTAACAGGACACTGATGCTACCTCGATCAGGAAGTAATACCAGCGCTGTGTGTCCATGTCTAAAGGAGGTCATAACTCCTTAAATCTGCTCAACATACAAAACTCATAACTCCACCTAAAACCTGGAACATAATAAAACAACATTAAGGAAGCTTTGAGCTCCTACCCAATGGGGGCTGGAGGATAGTGGGGGGGAAGGGGACTGGCTGGATGTAACCCCCTCACCTGTCACACCGTATTGTATTGTGCTGACATAACGTGTACAAAACACAGAGGTCATCATGTCTGTTCAATATTTTATTGTAATAAAACTACTGCTGTGTCCATTTTGGCACATTTCTTTAGAGTGCTACTCACACGTTTAGCTGTGTTGCACATTCCATGAATGCACGATGCTTACAAGTTATACCTCGTTGTAGGTTTATTCTGCTGTTTATTCTTGTCTGGACAAAATATATAGAAATATAAATCATTTGTTTAACATATATTAAAAAATAAATCTTAAGACTTGAACAAAACAACACACAGATCCAGCAGGAAACATCTGTCTGCATCTGTCTCTGTGGCTCAGGAGATAGATGGAGGACTTGGAGTCTGGAGGTCGTGGGTTCAAATCTGATCAGGACTCAGTGAATTTTAAAGGTGTCGGTCCTGAATGAAAGACTCAAGAGGAGAAACACAGTGAAGCACCTGCCAGTATCGATCCACAGGACACACACCATTATCTTAAAGGTATTGGTCCAAAGGAAAGACACGATTGATTTCTGAGAAACATAGTCAAGCATCTGTCTCTGTGGCTCAAGAGATAGAAGGAGGACTTGGAGTCTGGAGGTTGTGGGTTCAAGTCTTACCATGACTCAGTGACTTTTAAAGTCTAACATCTGAAATGATGAAGATAAATACGCCCGGAACACATCTCATAGTGTGAAGGTATTGGTAGCGTAGTGGATAAGATTGCGGTTTCCAAACTCCGTAGGTGGCGAGCCTAGGTTCAAATCCCGCTGTGTCTGGTGATGGAGGATTGGAATCTTATAAGGCAAATTTTTAAGTGAAAATCTGAAATGACGATGATAAATACGCCCGGAACAAATCTCAAAGTGTGAAGGGACCAGTGGCCAAGTGGAGTTGTCCTGGCATCTGCAATACATGCGCGCTGGTTCAAGTCCAGCTTCTATGGTATCGGTACCTGGAACTGCAGTTCCCCTGGTGTTTCATGAGTAACACAAGTACAGGGTTATGAAAATCAAGTGTCTGAAGTTTTGTGAACATGTCAGACCCTTTATTTTTAAAAGTGTTGGATGACTTAATGAACTAAATATAGTGTACTAACCTAAATTCATAATGGTCATTGTTCCCACCATGACATAAGATTTTTTATTATATATACACATGGTCAATCATATATCAGGATAATATGGTTCAAAGTTAAAAGGAGCTCAAGTAAAATATGGAGCATCAGTGAAGTCACTAGAGACACTGTTTACATGGATCATTCAGGGAACAGGAAGTTATAAAGGAAACAGGAAGTTCAGGGTTCTTTCTCTAATCTGCACACAGCAAGCAGCAACAGAAATGTAAGTTCCTGTACTGAACTTAAGGTTTAGCATTAGCATGTAGCTTAGCATTAGCAACAACTTGTATTAGTTTATTGTTTGAATTTATACAGAACTTTGGTAATGACTAAACTTCTTGTGTCTTGTAGTTTTCACTCCTTCAATCTGGTGAAGAAATGAAAAGAGGAGATCATCTCTTTGCTCCCTTCAGGTGCAGCTCCTGCAATTCAAACACAAAGTTTACATTTAGTTTAGACCAACAAAGTTTACATTTAGTTTAGACCAACAAAGACAAAGTTTACATTTAGTTTAGACCAACAAAGTTTACATTTAGTTTAGACCAACAAAGTTTACATTTAGTTTAGACTACAAAGTTTACATTTAGTTTAGACTAACAAAGTTTACATTTAGTTTAGACCAACAAAGTTTACATTTAGTTTAGACAACAAAGTTTACATTTAGTTTAGACCAACAAAGTTTACATTTAGTTTAGACTAACAAAGTTTACATTTAGTTTAGACCAACAAAGACAAAGTTTACATTTAGTTTAGACCAACAAAGTTTACATTTAGTTTAGACTAACAAAGACAAAGTTTACATTTAGTTTAGACCAACAAAGACAAAGTTTACATTTAGTTTAGACCAACAAAGTTTACATTTAGTTTAGACCAACAAAGTTTACATTTAGTTTAGACTAACAAACACAAACGTTACATTTTAGTTTAGACCAACAAAGTTTACATTTAGTTTAGACTAACAAACACAAACTTTACATTTTAGTTTAGACCAACAAAGTTTACATTTAGTTTAGACTAACAAAGTTTACATTTAGTTTACACCAACAAAGTTTACATTTAGTTTACACCAACAAAGACAAAGTTTACATTTAGTTTAGACTAACAAAGATAAAGTTTACATTTAGTTTAGACTAACAAACACAAAGAGGTTCCTCATGGAGGAGCACAGCATGACTCATGTGAGTAGAAATGAAAAGGTCTGGTTCATCTATCTGTAGAGAGAAGGTTAAAAATGTCTGACTTGAAATAAAAACTGTTTTTTTAAGTTGTTCAAGTTGTTTCAATCGTCTTCTTTGACATGTCATGACTCATCGTGTGTGTGTCGCTCTGACTCACCAAACTCATAATACTGAAGGCTGCAGAGAAGACAGATACGGCGGCTACATGCTAATGCTAAGCTACATGCTAATGCTAAGCCACGTGGTATGCTACATCAGATGCAATACGTCACAAATTATAACAAGGCTAATGTTAAGCTACATGCTAATGTTAAGCTACATGCTAATGCTAAGCTACATGCTAATGCTAAGCCACGTGGTATGATACATCAGATGCAATACGTCACAAATTATAACAAGGCTAATGTTAAGCTACATGCTAATGTTAAGCTACATGCTAATGTTAAACTTTAACTTCAGTACAGGAACTTACATTTCTGTTGCTGCACGCTGTGTGCAGATTAAAGAAAGAATCCTCAACTTCCTGTTTCCTTTATAACTTCCTGTTGATAAATCCAGAGCACTTCCTGTTAATAACCAGAGCACTTCCTGTTGATAAATCCAGAGCACTTCCTGTTAATAACCAGAGCACTTCCTGTTGATAAATCCAGAGCTACAGATGCACAGATATAAGAAGACCGAGGAGTTCAGATGAAAAGAAACAAAGCTACCTGGACAGACAGGTGATCATTCAAATGATTTCGTCTGCTTGCGTTGGATGGATGTTTCTCGATCTTCTCCTGAGTCCATTTGAACTTTTGTGATCTGTTGCTTTGGTAACCTCAGCATCGTTAACAAAAACAGGCCAATCAGAGTCCACATTTTGAAGGTCTCGGTCTGGGACTAGAAGGAAAAAACATCAAATAACTTCAGTCCCCGGTTACGACCACAACCTTCCTGGTGTTACGGTCCAAGTGAGTAAAACGTCCCCTGCACACACACATATTTGTGACTCTGTGTGGTCTTAGTGTGCTCTTGACTACAACACTACCCTCAGCTGAGTTCAGACAAGGAGGACCAAAAGCTGTTGGGTTTTTAAATGACATGACACTTTAAATGGGGGGATGAAATACTCACACCGTGTCCTGGAGGCCCTTCAGATCCTCTGATCGTTCAGCAGTCTGGACACAAAATGTGGATGAATTGAGGACACACAGACTAATGAATAATGGAGATGTGATGTGTTAGCTGGTACATACATGAGCTTCTGTAGTGTTGCATCTTTCTCCAGCTGTCTGTCATGAGTCTGCTCCAGTAACAGGCCCTGGTTCAAACAAAAAGGAGGAAAATAAAATGTATAATGTGGCCAGAGTTAATGTTGATGTCTGCTTGAGTGGATAAAATCTGGCACTTCTAATTGAAGTAGTTTATGATTGTAAATGAATGAGCTCGTCCATCATCCTCTGCTGGTCTTGGATCTGGTCTCTGAGGCGGCTGAGCTGCTTGTGGTGCCTCCAGAGTTTTGTGGAGATGTACAAACGGATTTGTGTCCATCTTCTGCTCCTTGAGTTTGTCAGCCAGACTCTGTTGGTTGATCTCATCATCCTGTGAATTATTACAAGAAAAGGACATCAAGTAATAATAATTGAGAAAATGAAAGTATTTGTATTTAGAATCTTTAAGCAGGTTGTCTTCAAACTGTGCTTCTAATGTTGTGTCTTGTCTTTGACTTTAGTCTATTCTTGTCATCCAGCTGTTTGTACAGGTTGCTCCTCCTCGTATTTGCTCCGCTCGTGGCAACAATATTATTTGACTTTTCTTTCACAAAGGTAAGAAGTATTTTCAGATGAAAAAAACAGTTAGTTAATTTAAAATGAGTAATGTATCAGAATGGCCCATTTACTTTTCATGTATTGTTCAATCCTAGCTGTAAATGAGCCATCGATGCTCCTAAACTAAAAGTCTGTGATAGTCCTTTTTAACTTGGAAATGTTTCCTTTTAATTTATGTTTAATCTAAACTAGCTCAATGAGCTGTAAGAAAAAATAAATAAAAATAAAAATAAAAATAAATTCAAACAAATTGATCATTTCAATTAAATCAATAAAAAGGTTTGTGGTATTTTCATTAAGAAAACCAAACGACAATAAACTAATTAAATTGATTAAAAGTTTGAAAAGTAAAATGAAAGCTACTAGGAAAAGGTCTAAGGTAAAAAAGCAGCTTTAATATAAATAATTTAGCAAACAATGATGTAAGACTCTAATTAAAATGTATAGGTTTAAAATAAATGCATTATATCGTTTATAAATCACTTTATATAGAGAGGGCGCCCTCTGGTGGTTAGTTGTTGGTTACTGCACTTAAATAAGAAATGAATCAGACTGCTGTTTCTTTGAGTAAATCAAACACAGAAGGCTGGATGAAGAGATTGTTGTCTTAGTTTACCTGTTAGCTTTTTTGGTTGACTTGTTAGCTGTTGTTTTATTTACCTTTTACCTGTTGTTTTATTTACCTTTTAGCTGTTGTTTAGTTTTATTTACCTTTTAGCTGTTGTTTTATTTACCTTTTAGATGTTGTTTTATTTACCTTTTAGCTGTTGTTTAGTTTTATTTACCTTTAAGCTGTTGTTTTATTTACCTTTTAGATGTTGTTTTATTTACCTTTTAGCTGTTGTTTAGTTTTATTTACCTTTTAGATGTTGTTGTATTTACCTTTTAGATGTTGTTTAGTTTTATTTACCTTTTAGATGTTGTTGTATTTACCTTTTAGCTGTTGTTTAGTTTTATTTACCTTTTAGCTGTTGTTTAGTTTTATTTACCTTTGAACTGTTGTTTTAATTACCTTTTACCTTACAGCTGAACTGTACCTGTAGGTCTGTCTTGATGAGCGAGGCTCCTGCTTGGACCAGATAATGACAGATAGTTCTTTGAGACAGGGACGCAGCTCGGTGAAGGACCGTCTCCCCCCTGGTCAACAGAAGAGAGAGAGAGAGAGCGTGTCAGATTACAGCATCTGACAACATCACCCGAGGAACAGACATCAACAGTGGCCCCCCTGCTGCTTCTTTTGGTGTCTTGTGTTTATGATGGCACATATATCATCACATATATACTGAACAGAGATCAGAGCACAGATACAGACACAGGCAGTTTGAAAGCATCATCATCTACACTCTGTTAACATTTAAATAAAGTGTTTAGCATTTTAAAAACCTCATGGTTTCAGTTCAATGTTAGATGTTTTCAAGCACAAATATAATCTGTACTTACTGCAGTTTTTCTGTAACCACTGAAAACTACTTAAAAGGCCGGGTTGGTGATTTTCTCCAGATTCACTTTTTAAGATTGTGGTTGAAATTGTCTTTTGGTCCTGACAATGCAGGCAATGAGCTGAGGTCTGCTTCTGGGGTGGGTGCAGACGGAGCACTGAGGGAATGCTACTTTTAGAAAATGACCGACCCTGCCTTTAACCCAGACAAGACTCTCTCTTACCTGCTTTTTGTGACTTGAGATAACATTTGTATTGAGTTGGCGCTCTACAAAATAAAGATTGATTGAACTGACTTTTTGTTTTACAAGCCTGTCATTGAAAGTTTCCCATTTATTCAAACACTAGAATACAGAAAGAAAGAAAAAAACGACATATTCCTATTTTGAAAAGAACCCACATACATTCATTAATGGTTAAAAAATAAAAACAATTACTAAGGATTCTTTAAATGAGCTACACATGGTGCAATGGCACCCCCTGTTGGCCTGTCAGAGATTGCTACAGGAAGTGACTCATCAAGCCCTGCCTATAAAGGAAGCAGGAAGTTAAGGGTTCCTTCTTTGATCTTCAAGGCTGCACACAGCAGGCAGCAACAGAGATGTAAGTTTCTTCACTGGACTGAAGTTAACAACTAAGCTTTCTTTTGTCGTGTATTAGTTTATTGTTTATTGTAGAACTTTGGTTATGACTAAACTAAATGTTCTTGTGTCTTGTAGTTTTCACTCCTTATTCAATCTGGTGAAGAAATGAAAAGAGGAGTTTGTCTGACTGTCAACCTACGAGCACCAAACACGTGGAGGACTGTACACACACCTGTGGAGGATGTAGAGGACCATCTCTTTGCTTCCTGCACTGGCAGCGTGATGACGTAACCTGCAGCCGGACGAGTCGAGTGACGTGAGGTCGGCTCCCTCCAGGTGGGGCTCCCTCCAGGTGGGGCTCCCTCCAGGTGGGCTCCCTCCAGGTGGGGCTCCCTCCAGGTGGGGCTCCCTCCAGGTGGGGCTCCCTCCAGGTGGGGCTCCCTCCAGGTCGGCTCCCTCCAGGTGGGGCTCCCTCCAGGTGGGGCTCCCTCCAGGTGGGGCTCCCTCCAGGTGGGGCTCCCTCCAGGTGGGGCTCCCTCCAGGTGCGGCTCCCTCCAGGTGCTGATTCAATTCAAAGACACATGTGAGTATGTAGAAATGAGGTATAAAGGTCTGTATTGAGAGATGAAACTGTCACTCACCTTCTTTAAGTCCTTGTTCTTCACACACTCAACCAGCAGCTCTAGAGAGAGAGGATGTTAAAAACCACAGATAATTAAAGTTATTATCAGTGTTCTGTATGATGAGCTTCAAGGTCTTGGTCCTCAAAAGGATTTGATTGACTTCGCCTTTTCGGTGACAGATTTATCGGCTAACAATAAACATGTAAACAACTATAACTAAATAAAACACAGCTGGCAGATAACCAACGACATTAAGGACTAATGCACTACAGCTGAACCTGATCACAGATGTAACACCTCTCTCTCTCTCTCCCAAAAAAACAGGCCCAATGTGACATGATAAAAAAACTTAATTTTATTCACTTGTCTCCAAACACTTAACAATAACTAACATTTTTAAATTTAAACTAACTGTGATGTGTTTTGTTTTTTTTTGTAACTTTTAGGGGCAGCCTGACCAAAACAAGACAAAGAGCTGGTAACATGTATGCTACACCACGCTGCCTCACCTGCTTCCTTCAACATTTGGTGAGTATTTTTCTTGGCTCTTGTGTTTATTTTAACTGTTTCAGTCACATATAGTCATATTCTTGATTTTATTCATAGGGCAAAATGTACATGATGCTACAAACGTTTAAATTTTAATCTTAACTCTCTTTGCTGTAGATGTGGAGATTATTTTGACTTAATTAATTTATTGTTAATTAATGTATCAGAATGGCTCATTTTACAATCCTAGCTGTAAATTACCCATGGATGCAACCTGACATGAACTTTAAACACTGATGTCTTTGTTTCTTATATTCCAGGTGTTTCCTGTTTCTGAACTGTGAAGAGTAGGATCTGTGCTGCAGCTGGAAGGATTTTCTTCAGATTAAAGTTTACTTGATAGCTGTTTTAGTTTTCTTTCAGTCATAGTTTGTTGTTTTTATCTTTCAGCTATAGATTTAGTTTAGTCTGTTTGCTTTAATTTTCATTTGCAGTTTTCTCTTCAAACACTGATAACACAATTTAATAATTTTAAAGTCTTAATTTGTTTCATGTTTGTGTTGTCAGCATCTTTAATTCCTAATGGATGTTTTGTTGTAGTTGTTTCCTTTGTTTTCATTTGAAGTTTGGATATTTTTTATAACATTTGATAAATTTCCATTAGGAAACATGCTTACTGGGTAGATAACTACAGACAAGTTTCCTCTGAACAATGAAACCTGTAAACTACTATAAATAAAACACACCTGGCAGATAACAGAACATAATTACAGAAGTCACTGATGCAGAATGGACAGCAGTAGTTTTATTACAATAAAATATTGAACAGCCATGACCTGTTTTTTGTACATGTTACATAAGCACAATACAATAAGGTGTCCCCATTGGGTAGGAGCTCAAAGCTTTCTTAATGTTGTTTTGTGTTCCAGGTTTAGGTCAAATGTTTAGACTCAGTTATTTTAATCATTTCATCCTTGTTAGTGGAGGAACATCAGGTGATTAATGAAATAAGGATTATAAAAATGAAGTATTTCATTAAACACCTGATGATCCTCCACTCCAAAAAAGGATGAAATGATTAAAATAACTGAGTCTAAACATCTATAAGACCTAAAACCTGGAACATAATAAAACAACATGAAGAAAGCTTTGAGTCTCCTACCTGAGCAGGAAGACGTCGACAGAGTTCCTGTTGGAGAAGAAAAACACATTTTAGTTCATCAAGTTAATAAAACTCAGAAAATGTTTGATTATACAACATTGTGATGACTGGAATAAACCTGAGTTTCATCATTCACTGTAAATTATCTGTGTTTAACTTCACTTTAAGGCTTTTGGATGAGACCGAAGCAAACTTAAATTCAAAGTTTAAATGTAGAATGTAATATAGAAACATTAAGTATAAGGTCTTAAGAAACATTTTTACCATACATTAACTGTCACAAGAACAAAGACTCTAATTAAAGTTAAAGGTTTAAAATAAATGAATCAGACTTTTGTTTCTTTGAGTTTGAATTAAACACAGAAAACTGGATTAAAAGCTTTTACTTTTAAATTAAATAAAGAAGTTTATTCATATTACTTTATCAAGATGAACATTTAATCTCTGAACAGTAATGTTTAGAAAATCATTTTACCTCGGATTAATTAGTTTACATATTAGTCAATAAACTTAAATTGAGGTTATTGTTTTATTTAAACTCTTCAATCTGATATTAGTTTAAATTATAAGTTTTATTTTTAAAGTTTACTTTTACCCGGTGTTTAAACAATTAGTTTAACAGGAGAAAACAAGTTCAAAAGTTACCTTCATAATGTTGATAAATGTTATCATCATCTTACTTTGACGATGTTTCCTCTTAACAAACATTTAGCATGAGCATTAGCCCACGTGTTAGCATTAGCATACAGCCCCACGTGTTTCTATTTTGTGGCTTTTCACACAAAACTGAACTTTTAAAGACTCACTGAGTATCTAGACTTCATCTCTCCTTCCCCGGCTCCTTCTTCTTCCACCGCTTTGATCCACAGCCAGGCTGCCCGCGGTCCGCACCGCTTACCTGCTCGAAACAATGATATACACACCTGAGAACACCTGAACACACCTGGGCGTGATTACCGGAAGCTTCAACCGGAAGTGTCGCAGAAAGTTTCTATGGAAGAAATGAAAAAGTTATAAATAAGAGGACACATAAACAAGACTAAGTCAAAAATCAAATGTTTTATTGATAAAAAAAATATTTATTAATGTAATTTACTTGTTTTTATGTTTTTTTAAAACTTTGAACTCTTGGTAACCAAGCAACATGAGAAAGTCAAACTCGGGTCACCATGGTAACTAACTGCATTCGTTAGCAGGAGACGAAGCTAACCTGTTTTCCGGTCTTTAGGACACTGACTGAATTCTTACTCACAGATAAATTCACTGCTGAATGATGTTTACCTCCAGTTTCTCTCTTCCTCTCCCTGTCGTTCTCCAAAGTGTCTAAGAAGCAGATAAATGAAGACACGGGATGAGTGAAAACTTTGTACTGAAGCTCCGAAGTTAGTTTGAGATACTAATGTGTAAAGATGGAGTTTAAAGGTGAAACTGCGCCCTCCTGTGGTCACTCTGTGAATTACTGCATTTGGAAGTTTTGTTTTTTTCACCTTTCTTGTTCTAGATACAAATTCAAACTGCTTTCTTTGTTTTATTTCTTTATGAATAAATGTGACTGTAATCATCAATGAGAGTCCTGGTTGTGTACCCTGGGCTCGGAGGTCAGCATGTTGTACCAGAGGATGGAGGCCCAGCCGCTGGGCAGCTGACAGACGTTAGAGATGACAACAACAGGAGGGACATTGTTGGCCTACAACAACAAAAACAGCAACAAACATCAGGAAATAATCATAAACAAACTCATAAACTCTATAGTTTGACTGTAGTTACTAATCCTGTCCACTAGATGGCAGCCAAACTATGCTGTTTCATTTAACATCCAATATTTCCCCACTTCCGGTCGGGGTCGATGGGGACAGCGATTAGTCGTCTAAAAATAAGACCATTTTAGTTTAAATAAAATAAATACCTTCGATTGTCGACAGAATAGCTAATGCTTCGTTTTTCAAGACATATATGAGCTAACTACGCTCTCAAGAGTGGGAAAAAATAAAATGTTTTTTAAAACACAAATGTAGTTCCACATTTTGTCCATTGGGGGCAGTATAAACACAACAAGCAGTGTTAGTGAAAACACATTTAAAATAAAAGCTTCAAACACTTTAAATTATAATCAAAATATTTTTTATTTTCTTTCTTTTACTACCGACACACACACACACACACACGCACACACACGCACACACACGCACACACACACACACACACACACACACACACACACACACACACACACACACACACACACGTATCTATAACAGGATTTTGTCCAGTACCAGAAGCTCACTGCAGGGGATTTATGTATGAAAGTCTGTCGTCTAATCTAAAGTGTGTCACATTGATAGATGAAGCAGACACACTCTGCTATACTAGAAATAGTATAGATTTTAATGTAGTGCAATATTGATTCAATTAGTTTAAGGGTTAAAAAAATTCTAAATGATTTTTCCTGATATGTTTTATATCAGGAGACTTGGCAGGTAGAATAACTGTGTTTTTAAAAGTGTAAAAGTATTTCTCTTCCCTGCACATGTTTCTGGTAAATTCATTCATTTACACATTGTAGAGATGTTATTACTTCTTCTTAAGTTTACACTTTTCATTCTACACACTGACTTGGTTTCTCTAGGATGTACAGAAGAGATTGTTCGGGCCCATCTGGCGCTCCAGGTTCGGTCCGTTTGACATCGTTAATGTGGCGACTCCAGAGCTCATAGCTCAGGTAATCCGACAGGAGGGTCGGCATCCAGTTAACATTTACTAATGTGCTTTGAATATTTTACTCACTGATATTCATAAAGGTTGAATGTTATTGTTATTGTTGAGCCTTTATTTTACTGTGTAATTTTACATTATTGTATTTTTTTACATTATGATGTAAATATGTTTGATCTGTTTTTAACTTCTATTTTTATTTTTTATAATTATATTCCCGTCCCCTGTTTTCTGGAGCTGCTGTAATGCACAAATTTCCCCCACGGGGGATCAATAAAGTTTATCTTTATCTTTATCTTTCTACTCGAAAGATCATTGAGGGGCAACCCTCATTTACAATGACATCGAGTAATTGCAGAAATAATTTAAAACAGACATTAAATCAAAAATAAAAACAGGGGACAGATAATACAAGACTGCTAAAATCAGTCTACAAAAGGTTAAAATGTACTAAGATAATTAAGCGAGTACAAAACTGCAATAAAAAAACACACTTATGTAAAACAGTTACAAACAGAGGTTGGGAGGCTTAAAATCAGGTTTCTAAAATGCCCAAAAGGTAAGAGTTCATTCCCCTCAAGAAGATGCTGTATGTTGTTCCATGAGTCCGGTGCAGAATAAGAAAAAGCAGATTTTCCCAGTTCCGATCTGACTCGAGGAACATTGAACAGTAAACGTCTTGAGGAACGTGTCTGGTAACGCCCAGTCGAGAGATGGATAAGTTCTGTCAAAATGTGATCATTACATGACAGGGGGCATTATAAATGTTCTGACCTGTAGGTTCCTCTTAATCTCGCGGATGTTGTGTTGTAGCAGGAAGTTGTTTTCCAGGGCGAAGCGGCTATGTTGGTCGTCGAGCTGAGCCAGGAGGTCGTGGAACTGAACTGTGGCTAAGGAATCCTGCATCGCCACTGTGTCCCTGAAGAGGCACGGAGCACAAGACAAATGAGGCTCTGATCTCTATTCTTGAAAAGTAAAAACTTTTGTTCTACTTTACAAAAAAACACCCTCTCACCAGTCGATGCTCTCGATCTACTTGCTCAGGTATTGCCTGATGTCCATGGGGAACGAGTCATCGTAAAGCTGCTCCACCTGCTCCAGGTACTTGCAGTCCAGCATCTGAAGCTGGTTCTACTGCGCCATCTTCTGGTGAACAAAAGCAGATTCATCCAGTGTTAAGAGCTCGGACTTAAAGATTCGTTTAGGTACATTCCTTTTTTAAAAAAGGTTGAATAAAAAGTAGAACTCAGAGGAAAAATAATAATCTGTGTGAACTCTAAAATAAAGAAACTATTTAAGGTTTACTCAATGTCTGAAATTATGATTATTGTTGGAGCTATTTAATTGGGCATAAAATTAGTTTTTGTATTTAGTTTACTAATATTTGGGTGTTGTTGTTTATTTAATTATTCTACACGTTTTCTTTATTTAGAAAAGATTTTGGGTAACGTTTTCTTTTTTGCTAGTTATTTGTTTAGTAAATTTAGTTTTGTATTAGTATTTTGTTAGGTATTTGATGTAATACTGTGGGCACCGGAGATTATTTAAGTCAGAGGCAGGTGGAGGACCGGCATGCACCTGGGTGGGCCTATTGTTTTTTATCAGGTCAAGAGAGGCAGCGGATTTTGGATGGATGAACGGCACAGATTGTTTTTTTCAAACTTTTGGAATCAGCGTCAGAAGGAAACCGGCTTCTGGCCCAGATCGACACAACGTTCAGCCTCCTCACAAGAAACTGGTATGTGACACGACTGCTGTATTGGAAAATGGCCAAACGATTGGAGTTTGAATGTCAGTGTTTTCACGTTAAAGTGCCAAGTTTATGAAGTCTGAGGAGTTGGACGGCGCAGAATCGCCGCGTGTTATTATTACGCAACACTTTTACGCAAGACTGTCGGCTGCTTCCATTGACAATTAACCCGACTGCAGAGTGTGTTTTTGTGTTGAAAACTGGATCTGATCGGCCAATAAACCAGTTATGTTGGTCAAAAGCTTTTGGCCTGCTTTTGTGTCTCATTGTGGATGTTGATTGCTGCGCAACAAGCAGTTTAAAAAAAAAAAAAAACGCTAACATGGATGATGTTGCTGTAAATGATGTTGAAATGTCGTCAACTAAAAGAAACATTAAAATCACTTCTAAAGGCTTGTGCTTCTACACACAAATGTGCCAGGAAAAAAGGAGTGCAAAATGTAAACAAGCCAAGAAGTGTGGAGAAAAAATTCGCGTGTTAATGGAGTCAAGTGAAAATGTCAATTCTGTCAACTCCGAGCTTGTCACGTTCATTCAGTGTCATCAAGATGCAGCTCACATGCACGAAGCTTTAATCAAGCTGCCCTTGCCACAAGATGAACTGACAAAACAAAGTAAATACTTCGAAGAAAAAATGACAAAGTTCGGTGAATTCACAAAAGGGGTTAAAAACTGGCTGTCTGAAAAGGGTCATCCTTATGTGACAGAAAGAGACACTCCCGACGAAAAGGATTTTGCAGATGATATAAACCCTGAAGACAGTGCTTCTAATGTGTCACGTGTAAAATCAAATTCTGTGAGGACTCGTTCTCATTCATCACGGACCTCATCAGCCTCTTCTGCACGCATTAAAGCCAAGGTCAACAAGGCAGCTCGAATTGAGCGTGTTGCTGCTTTAAAAGCGAAACATGAAATAGAAGCTCAAGAGGAAAAGCTGAGGAGAGAAAAGGAACAACTGGAACTTGAAACGGAACTGGCTGTAACAAATGCAAAGCTTCAGGTCTTGGAAATAAATTCATCAGAGTGTGGCTCAAAATATTCAGATGGCATGAAGTCTTACTTTAAAAGGAACTATTCTCACAAGGTCAGTGCATTAAATCCCAATGCTGACACCTTTGCACCAGTAATTGAAGAAAATGTTAATGTTATTGCTGGACTTGATACCATCTCTCATCCACAAGATGTTAAGCACAAACAAAGACAAGAAACACAAAAGGATGAGATGTTACAGCTTCATGCTCCAGTAAAAGTGACTGAAACTGCTAATGAACATCAAACAGGACTTGTATGTAAGCAGACTGACAACTATCAGAATGACATTGTAAACATAATGCAGAGACAAAATGATATTACTTCTCTGCTGGTCCAGCAAAATCTGAGTTCTATTCTCCCATCAAGAAACATCCCGGTATTTGATGGAGACCCTCTTCAATACAGGTCTTTCATAAGAGCTTTTGAGAATGGAGTGGAGGAGAAAACAGCCAATTGGAGCGACTGCTTGCATTTTCTCGAACAGTACACCAGGGGGCAACCAAGGGACTTGGTGCACAGCTGTCAACATCTGCCTTCAGAAATTGGATACCATAGAGCCAAAGGTCTTTTAGCAGAGCATTTTGGAAATGAATACAAAATTGCAGCTGCCTATATGGATAAGATTCACAACTGGCCACCTGTTAAAAGTGAGAATACTAAAGCGCTACAATCATTCTCACTGTTTCTTCGAGGATGCTCAAATCTAACGGAGCGAATGATGCAAATGAAGGAATTGGACTTACCTTTTAACATGAGGAGCATCATCTTAAAACTGCCTTACAAATTCAGGGAAAGATGGAGAAGTGTTGCATGTGATCTTCAAGAGCGTAGTGGCCGCAGAGCAATGTTTATTGATCTTGTTGGCTTCATTGAAAAGCAAGTTAGAGTTGCCTCAGACCCACTTTTTGGCAACATTCAGGACTCACAAACCACCAACTCCAAGGTCTCCAACACTAAATATTCACAGCAAAGAAAAAGGGAAAGCAGTTTTGCAACTAATGTCACTGCAGTAAAGGAAGGAGTCATTACTCATTATGC